AAAGCACTGGGTATGCTGTGCAACTGTTAAGGAGGTGATAACCATAGATGAGTGATGAAAGCAGTTTTTTAGGTATAAGATTGGGTAGAAAAACAAGGTGTACTATTGCACACATGGAATGGTCACAGCTATATGACAACTATCTGTGAATACCTTAAAAATAGGTTAATACAGGGCTGGGTGCAGTGGCTCACGCCTGTAATCATAGCACTTTGGGAGGCCAAGGCAGGCAGCTCACCTGAGGTTAGGAGTTCCAGACCAGCCTTGCCAACATGGCGAGACTCCATCTCTACCAAAAATAGAAAAAAAAAAAAAGGCCGGGCAGGGTGGTGCACGCCTGCAGTCCCAGCTACTTGGGAGGCTGAGGCAGAAGTGCTTGAACCTGGAAGATGGAGGCTGCAGTGAGCTGAGATCGTGCCACTGCACTCCAGCCTGGGCAACAGAGGGTAATACAGTCACAAGGGTAACAAAGTGGACAGGTATAGAACATGAAAATGAGATCTTTTCTTCAGCCACTCCCCTGAGGCAGCTACCTTCATAAATCTGGTCATTAATTTTAAGTTACAAGAAAACAGACTAAAATGTTAATGGTGTTTATAGTGTATTTTTCTGTTTCAGGGGCAGAGGGAGGGAGGGAGATCTACGTTTCTGTAAAGTAGTTGCCTTTAATGAGTCAAATATTACTTTAAAAAGAAAAAAACATCAGTCCATCAGAAATGTGTACTTAAGAAAAAGGAAACTGAGTTCACACAAATTAGTAAGGAAAAGCATGAAGACAAAAAAGCTAAAGGGCCTAGGTTATACATAAAGAAGTTTTTAAAACTTATTTGGAGAAAAATGCATAATAATGCAAACATAGATTAATTATTGTTAATAATAATCACTTTTTGGGTTTATCAAATAGGTAAAGATTTTTTGGTGGTTGTTTAAGTGAATACATACCCAGTGCTGGCAAAGTTATTTAAAGGGAGTATTTACTTGGCTCCAGGGTGACAAAGGCAGTTCTTTACACATACAAAAACTGCTTAGTGTGTCTTGTTTGCCTTGGGTGCTGTGCTGAGCAAGATCCCAACCCTGTCCTCAGGTTCACTGGAACCAGAGAGTGGATGACTGGTTAACGACGCCTGCCAGGGACTCGAGAGGGAGGATGGTTTACCACCTATTTCATACCTCTGGCCTTCCCTATGCTGAGGGCTACAAATGGCAGAGCCCCCCCAGAAACAAATCCAGCAGGATCTTTCAAGGGCCTTAGAAATGTTCATCACATGCCATTTAGTAAAACAACTTTTTGGAAATAGATTCTAAAAAAAACTGTAAATACAGTACTTTATGCTTTGTTAATCAGAGTTTTATACAAAGTTATTAAAAACTGTCACGAAATCAGAAAAGAACTTTAAACTTGTAATGTTATTTTTAAAAACCTACACATAGAAAAAATTATTTGTAGAAAAAATACTAAAATATGATTAAAATGTCGTTGCATTTTGATGTGTTAACTGTGGTTTACAACTCTAGTTTATCGCTGCTAATAAAACGTTTTTAAAAATAAATTTTAGGCCAGGTGCAGTGGCTCACGCCTGTAATCCCAGCACTTTGGGAGGCTGAGGCAGGCACATCATGAGGTCAGGAGTTTGAGACCAGCCTCACCAACATGGTGAAACCCCGTCTCTACTGCAAATACAAAAATTAGCTGGGCGTGCTGGCACACACCTATAATCCCAGCTACTCAGGAGGCTGAGGCAGGAGAATCACTTGAACCCAGGAGGCGGAGGCTGCAGTGAGCTGAGATCATACCACTGCACTCCAGCCTGGATAACAGAGCAAGACTCCATCTCAAAAATAAAATAAATTAAAATTAAAATTACATTAAATTTAATTTAATTTAAAATATTCCCTAATTGCAGCTACTCGTTACTGAGTGCCTTCTAAATACCAGGCACTATTAGGCTCTTTTCTATAGATGAACTCTAGGCCTTTCAATGGTTCTCCCAGGGGAGGATCCCCATTTCCTAAGAAAACGAGATATAATCAGCCTCTAAGAAGGACCCTGAGGTTTGATCTTAGCTCTCCCTGGCTCCAAAACCCACCCTCTCTCTTCTCTGCCAAGGGTCTCTTCTACCTGTGAATATAACTACCTCCCTGGACTTGTACTAGTTGCGTACCCAGAACGACTAGGAAGTTTATTAGCCTTCTCTGTTTTGCAAAATTTTCTTTAATATGCTTAATATTATTCGTATAGTGAGGAAACAATACCTAATAAAACTATGTTAAAAATCAGAGTTCAAACAAAAGACTTCAATTAATCTGTGGCTCTTTCCAGACCTGACTTAAATCCTGTTATATCCTAATATGGGATCATCATGCAAATTCTTCAAGGAGAAGAGGGTTGTGGAGGAGAGGTAAGTGGTTTATAGTCCTTCCCTAGAGAAAAAAATCAATACAACTTTTAAACCCTGCTAGGATGAGGCTAGGAGTGTTTCTAAAACCTTCAAGATACACACATTTTGGCTCAGAAATTCCACTGCTGAGAATTTCCTCTTAGGAAACAAGACCAGATGCAAAGACATTAGAGCAAATCAATAAGGAAAAATGCCAAAACCCCAAAACTCAAGGGCTACAGGGGTGGAAGCGTAACTATAGCAGCAACGTGTATATAAGATAAACTGACCAGGCACAGTGGCTCACGTCGGTAATTCCAGCACTTTGGGAGGCCGAGGCGGGCGGATCATGAAGTCAGGAGATCGAGACCATCCTGGCTAACATGGTGAAACCCCATCTCTACTAAAAAATACAAAAAAATTAGCCGGGCGTGGTGGCGGGCGCCTGTAGTCCCAGCTACTCGGGAGGCTGAGGCAGGAGAATACTGTGAACCCAGGAGGTGGAGCTTGCAGTGAGCCGAGATCGCGCCACTGCACTCCAGCCTGGGCGACAGAGCGAGACTCCATCTCAAAAAGAAGAAAAAAGAGAGAAATTATAAGCAACCCTGGTTTCCACCCCTGAGAAGCCAGATGAAATAAATGAGGACACATCCATGCAACCAAGTACTGAAAGGAAACTTAGGAATGTATATCTGCATATGGACAGATGTTCACAATATATGAGAATGAAAATGATAGCCCTCAAAACAGTGTTTATGGTAGTGTATTTCATTTCATAAAAATAAAACTTTTTTTGTTTTGAGACAGAGTCTCGCTCTGTTGTCCAGGCTGGAGTGCAATGGTGTGATCTCAGCTCAATGTAACCTCTGCCTCTCAGGTTCAAGCGATTCTCGTGGTTCAGCCTCCCACGTAGCTGGGACTATAGGCGAGTGCCACCACGCCCGACTATTTTTTCGTATTTTTAGTAGAGACGGGGTTTCATCATTTTGGCCAGGCTGGTCTCAAACTCCTGACCTCAGGTGATCTGCCCGCCTTGGGCTCCCAAAGTTCCAGGATTACAGCCATCAGCCACCATGCCCAGCCTAAAAATATAACTTTTAAAAGCTATACAGAGATGTATGTGTAAGAAAAAATGGGCACAAACTTTTAGCAGCAAGTATATCTGGGAGGGGGAAATAGAAATACTCAAAAGAAAAAACAAACATAATTTCTAGTGTTCTTCTGGGAATGTATATTACTTGCATCACCACTAAAAACCTTAAAACGTGAGTGCTTCTAAATTTATAGGCGTGAGCCACCATGCCCGGCCTACAGTATGAATATACTGAACATTACTGAACTGTATGCTTAAAAACGGTTAAGACACTAAGCTTTGTGTGGTTTTTACCACAATGAAATATAAGAATTTTTAAATGAGTTCTTCTAAATTTAAAACTGTAAACATGAAGAGGAGTGTCTAAACTGTTTGACGTATCAGGAACTGGGTAGGAACAGGAGGGAAATTCTGTATTAACCTCAGGGTCACACAGGCCTTAACAACGTGAGAGGGGATTGCTTTAGATTAACAGACTTAAGAGCTCAGACGACCAAATGCGATCTGGGGGGCACGTTTAGATCCAGATTGAAACAAGCTGACTGTCCAAGGACATCTTGGGAGATAATCAGGGAAGTCTGGTTATGGTGTGAGTAAAACCCTTTGTCTGAGGTGATTTAAAAATTTCCTTTTTAAGTAGAGGTACTGAAGTTTAAAAAACATAAATGAGTCCATTAAAAATATGTTAAGTAAATAACAGTTCAAGCAGAATGTAGATTTAGCAAAAAAGGCAACAGGAGAAGTGAAATAAAAGATCGATCAGGCTATGAGCCTTCTGACCGTGGGGAGAGAAGTGGATTTCATGAGAGAGTGAATGAGGTAGAAACTACCTTAAAGACATGACAGGGTTTTCCTGGAGGTGAAGGGAGAAAAATTATGGAAGATGTAGAAAGGAAGTGGTTCCTGAAGAGGGTGGGAGCTAATTGAAAAGGCACAGGAGCCAACTTGAAAGAGCTCCCAATGGCCAAAGCTACAGCCATTTGAACAACAAAATAAATGACAGTACTGAATTACAGCCCATAGAATACATATCCATGAATCCATTCTGATATAAAGAAATGAGGGCGGCCAGGTACGGGGGGGCTCACGCCTGTAATCCCAGCACTTTGGAAGGCCGAGGTGGGCAGATCACGAGGTCAGGAGATCGAGACCATCCTGGCTAACACAGTGAAACTCCGTCTCTACTAAAAACACAAAAAATTAGCCGGGCGAGGTGGTGGGCGCCTGTAGTCCCAGCTACTCGGGAGGCTGAGGCAGGAGAATGGCGTGAACCCGGGAGGCGGAGCTTGCAGTAAGCCGAGATTGCACCACTGCACTCCAGCCTGGATGACAGAGCGAGACTCAGTCTCAAAAAAAAAAGGAAATGAGGGCAATCCTCCCTCACGATGAATAACACTGAAAAAGGTAAAATCTATTAGCTATTTTCCTATGCAACAAAAATATTCTTTGTAAGCTTTTCACCTGTATGACACCTGAGGCATCCCCTCTTGGAAAAAGGTTTTCCTACATCCTTGCAACATTTTTTTTTAACCACACTTTGATGAATTTTCAAGTTGTTAAAAAGGTGTGGGGGCTAGTGAAAGGCCTTCTCACATTCAGAACACTCTTTCTAGGATGAAGCCAAAAATGTTGAGAAACGTGTGTGCTGTGACTGAAGGTTTCTCAACAGTGATTGGATGCAACAGTTTTCTCTTGAGAATGGAATTGATAATGTTGAGTGAGGTATGAAGGTCGGCCGAAACATTTCCCACACAGCCGACACTGGTAAGGCCTCTCTTGAGTGTGAGTCCTATAATGCTGAATGAGATGTGAATTCCGACTGAAGACTTTGCCACAGTCACAACACTGGCAGGCTCTCTCTCCAACGTAGTCATGTTTCCGCTGATAACGAATTAAGTATGTCTTGCTGGGGGACAGCGCAGGAGAAAGGACTCTTGCTGCCTCATGGGCTTTGAGATGTTGAAGAAGATGCACATTCTGGAGAAAAGCTTTGCCACACTGAAAACATTCATAGTAGTCCTCCTGACTATGAATTCTTACACGTTCACAGAGATTCGCACACTGGATGGAAGGCTTCCTACCAGAATGGGTCTTCTGATGTCTGTTGAGGTGTGGCATGAGATAGAAGGCTTTACCACACTGTTTACATTCATAGGGTTTCTTCCCAGTATGGATCTGTTTGTGTCTCCCAAGGGCTACTTGAGTACTAAAGGTTCGTTTGCAAAATTCACATCTGTTGTGTTTGTTATCTTGGGAAGCTGACCGGGGCCTTGTACATATGCCAGGAGCAGTGTCCTCCTGGGGATCCTTTCCTAGAGGATCCTCGGATTGTTCACTAAGAGTAGAGCTTCTCTCAAATTCATCACTGCCACAGCTTCTTTCCTGAGTGAGGGTCTTGGGGTCATTCATTTTTATAGGACTCAAAAGTTTCTCTTGGTTGCCCTGGTGTGGTTCCAATGGATTGTCATGAGCCTCTCCTGCAGAGACATGCCAGAAGTTACCTACTGCTAAATTATCCTTTCCTGCCCCCCAGTAATGACATTTCTATAGGCAGGCTTTGCCCTGGAGTTAGTGCTTTGGTTTCAGGTCTCTTTTCCTAATCTAAAAAAAAAAAAGTAAAAATTCCTCTATTCTTTTTACTCAGAGAGACATACAAATATAATAGAAATAAAGAGACCAAGGGTAACAAACAGATCTCATGGAGGTTGAGAGAGTTTTCTGAAAACCTAAAGAGAAAATGGGAAAAGAACAGAAAGGACAGTAAGTGGCCAGGCACAGTGGCTGACACCTGTAATCCCAGCACCCTGGGAGGCCGAGGCAGGCGGATCACAAGGTCAAGAGATTAGATCATCCTGGCCAATGTGGTGAAACCCCGTCTCTACTAAAAATACAAAAAATTAGCTGGGCATGGTGGCGCGTGCCTGTAGTCCCAGCTGCTCAGGAGGCTGAGGCAGGAGAATCGCTTCACCGGAGGTCGTACCACAGCAATGCAGGCTGGACGACAGAGTGAGACTCTGTCTCAAAAAAGAAAAAAAGAAAAAAAAAGAAAAAGAAAAGACAGTAAGCAAGGAGGAGTGAGGAAGAAGCAGAAAAAATATCATCCAGGAGGATGGCGTGTCAAAAAGATGCCACAAATGTACAGAATGAGCAGAAATCAGAGAAAGAGCTGGGGTTGGGGTTCGCCAGCATTTTCCAAACCATGTTTGGCAGATCGCTAATATTCTGAAAAACAAATAGCTGTTACCATGTAGGGGATTCCATTGTCAAGTTAATTTGGGAAATGTTGTATGACACAAATCAAGAAATCAAGCAGATTTCATTCCTGTAGGATTCAGAACTTTTAAAATGCACCTCAAACCCCAAAAAGGGAAGGTACAGAATGTGGCATTTCTTAAACTGATCTTGCCATGAAACATTTTTTTTTAGAACATCTATTACCATGGTTCTTCAGGACTACGGAGGAGACACTGGAGCAAACAGGTCAACAACCTCTTGTTCAGAATTAAATAAAGATTCTCCTTTCTTAGTTCCAAATCCCCAATCTACACTGCCAACCAATTCCCTTTAATTCAATATTTATTAAATGCCTGTTTTGTGCAAGGCATTATGTAACCAGATGGGTCAGAGGTCTGTAAAAGGGACTCTAATCGGACTATAAATGACCACAGGAGCAGAGATGGGGGAACTGACTCCACTTAGGAACAGGACATGATTAGTGGAGGGGACAGCATTTGGCTTCAGCAAATGGGGAAGGGGGGCGAGTTTATATAAAACAGCCTGAGCTAAGCTATAGAACTGTGAAAGTATACAGTCCTGGGGAGCTAGAAACAGGATTTTAGTTGCAAGATCTGTAGGAGATGAGGCTGGGATGCAAATTTCAGGCCAGACTGGGAGGAACTTCAGTGTTTTGCTGAAAGTTTGAATTTTATCTTGACGGAGGTAAGAAGCTGATAAAAAAAAGTCCATGCTTTATAAAGGCAACTCTCTGGTAGGAAAAATACTGAAGCCAAGGAAGTCAAGTATAAGACTGTGGTTTGGAAGAGAGGTGATGAACACAGTGGTTGCATCCTGGCAGACACTCAAAGTATGTGAACAGAGTACAGGTAAAACAGCAGAGCCAGAACACGGCTTAGGAAGTCATCAGGAAAAGAGGGATAGCTGGGCCCATCACAATGGATTGACTCTTTTAGGAAGTGGTCTTTGAAGAGAACACTCAAGAACGGAAGAGTAAGAGAACACCTAGTCCTCGCTGGCTCTTCTGTTTTCCTTACCCTGCTGTACATCCAATATTTCAGTATGTTCTGCCAGTTCTCCTTTCAGGGAATACCTCAAACCTGACCACTCTACAACCATAGCCTCAGCCTCCATCATCTTTAGCCTGGTGGACTTCAATGGCCTCTTGAATTGGTTTCTCTGGCTTTTCCTCTTAAAGCCCATTCTCCGTAGGACAACCAGATGGATCTTTCTAGAATAGCACTGCCCAGTAGAACTCCCAGTGCTGATGGAAATGGTCTACACTTTTGCTGTCCAGCACAGTAGCCGTTAGTCACATGTGGCTATCAAATGTTTGCCATGTGGCTTGTGTGACTGAGGAACTAAATTTTAAATTTTATGTAATTCTTACTAGTGTAAATGTAAGTAGCCACATGTGCCTATTGTCTACCACATTGGACAGCAAAGTTCTAAAATGTCAATAACACTACCTAATTTCCCTGCTCAAAACTTCCCACCATCTTTGCATCTCACTTATAACAAAATTCTTTAACATATTCCTAAGTGGGCTGGCCCCTGACTATCTCTGTGATCTCATCTTCTATCTTCCACTTAACTCAGACCATATTGCCCTTCTTCCTGTTTTTGGAACACCCACGCTCATTCCAATCTCAGGGTCCTCGCATTTGCTGTTTGCTCTGCCTGTAACAGTCTTCCTCAAGATTTCTACATGGGTAGAAATCTCATTCAAGTCTTCCACAGTGAGGCCTTCTCTGACTATTCCATCTTAAGCAACCTCCCATATCTCATTCACTATCCGCTTTACACTCAGTTATTGTCTATTTTTTAAAACTACTGCCTCCATTAGAATGCAAGCTCTATGAAGGAAGAGATTTGCCTGTCTTGTTCATTATTGTATCCACAGATGCTAGGACAGTACCTGGTCCACCACAGAAGCCTGATAAATATCTATGGGATGACTGAATGAATGAAGAAACCAGAGTAGGGAAAGAAGAGAAGACAATGAAAGAAACAGAGAGGAGTCTTCCTGGTAACTTCTTGCATTTTGTTTGGACATCCCTTTTCCACTCACACAGAAAAAGGTGGAGGAGGGCTGTGTCAATCAGCACTGTACTGGACACAGCTACTAGTTCAGGAAAGGGATACAACCCGATATGGAACAATGAAAAATCAGGAGAGCTGGAAAAGATGTTTCCTCTCTCTTGAGAATGCGTCTTGGACACACCAGCTCTTTCTTGCTCCTTCTTTGCACATGAACAACAACAACAAAAATGCATCTAGGATTTATTGTCAGAGTTGAAGGCAGAGTAGAAGGAGAAAATGAAACTAGGTCTTCGATGACTTCACTGGGTCCCTGAATACAGGCCAGCTGATCAGTAGTATAGGCTAATAATCCCTCTATGACTTTAGCCAGTTTGCGTGTGGGTTTTCTGTTAACTGCAACTGAAGGACAACAGTGATCCCAGCTGATGCACATAGTGACCCAATTCAAAGAAGGGGATTTCATGAAGATGGTAAGTGTTATTAGACTGTAGCCATAGAGTTTGGAGGACGTGAAGTCTATGGTTCCAGAACCGTAAGGATGCTAGTGGGAACCTTTTGTGGAACTTTCAGAAAAGAGCGTATACGTGTGTCTATGTTGGCAGAAGTAGGGGGATGGAAACCAGAGGGCCAGGGTTAAGAAGAAAAGGGAAGGGAGCCTCTGGGTGTCAACAAGTCTGAGGAGCTGATGTGAGGGAAAGTGGAGGGCAGTGAGAAAGACAAGTGGTATCAGGCCAGGGTTTTTTGTTTGTCTCAGTTAAAGAGGAAAGATCTATGATTTCTAGCTGCCAGGAGAAAGGCATGAGTGAATGGAAGGGCTGGAACACAAGAGTAAAAGGACACTGGCCACCCTGGAACTGAGCAGGACAGGAACTGACGTTGCAGGAAGAGATGAGCTCCAGAAAGGAGATGAAGGGGAGTAGTGAGGAGAAAGAGGCCCTGAGGTGAGAGCACCTACCAGCCTTCTCCCTGGCCCAGGGGGCTTTGAGGAAAGCTCCCTGACTAGCATTTCCTGGTCCCTCCTCCTACAGCCCGGGCTTCCCCCTCACTACTCACCTTGACAAATCACTGTATGTCTGCTGTCTGTCTCCATTGCACGTGATTCCTCCGCTTCCAGGCGTGAGATAATGTCAGGTTTAGAGAACTGGTACCCTGTTGGAGAGGAAGATTCAGAACTCAGGGTTTCAGTAACTCCCAACCCGGGGTCCCAAAGACTCTGGGGTAATAAGGAAGGAATAAACTCTCACAGGAGTGAAATGTAGCCTGTTTCCAGCCTATAGAGATTTTACCCCCAAGGGACATCTAGAATGTATGGAGATATCTTTGGTTGTCACAACTGTGGGAGCAGCGGGAGGGGTTCCTGGTGTCTAGTACGGCTGGAGGCAGGGACACGGCTCAACATTCTGCAAGACAGCTCCACAACCCAGAACGATCTGGCCCCACGTCAAGAGCGCCAAGGTTGAACAACTCTGCTATGAAGACTAAAAAGGGGGCATGAGGGCAGTGTGCTGAGCTCTACACTTCAGCACCAAGAATCTGACGTAGCTGCTCAAAAAGTCAACAGTTTGGTTCTTTTCCTTCCTGGGATAACGTCCACTGCCTCTTTGTCTTGAAGTGCTGCTCCTCCCCCTCCCTTAGTTCCTTGTTTCCCAAACGTCTATCATTTGCACACCAAATTATTATCTATTTGTCTACTGTCTGACTCTCTCTACTCAAACATAACATCCATGAGAATGGGAAATGTCATCTATTTGGTAACCCCAATGCCTATACCAGGTCTTGTACATCTGAATTCACTGACAAGTTAATGAATGACCCTTGCATTTTGGCATTTCTATGTGCCATTTATAGTCATATTCAGTATTTATTTAATGTTTTTCTTTAGATCACCTTTCTTGTTAACTTAAATACACTTATTTTATTTTTTATTTTTTATTTTTTTTGAGACAGTCTCGTTCTGTCACCCAGGCTAGAGTGCAGTGGCGCAATCTCGGCTCACTGCAGCTTCTGCCTCCCAGGTTCAAGTGATTCTTCTGCCTCAGCCTCTCCAGCGGCTGGGACTACCCAGCTAATTTTTCAAATTTTTAGTAGAGATGAGGTTTCACCATGTTGGCCAGGCTGGTCTTGAACTCCTGACCTCAAATGAACTGCCCGCCTCTGCCTCCCAAAGTGCTGGGATTACAGGCATGAGCCACTGCACCTGGCCAATATGCTTATTTTCAATGGAAGCTTTATATCAACCCTATAAATGGAAACCAATGTCACTCACCCACACGCACAAAAAATGGAAGGTAACATCATGGTAAATATAACAGAAACTAAGGTTATTGAGTGCTAGCTAGCTTCTGTTGCCTATCTGACACTCAGGATTTGATGTCTGCTCTCTCTTTGCTAAAATGGAAGAATAATAAGATAGAGAGACATGCTAACAAACTGATATTCTCTACTTGATAGAGTCAGAAGGCTTAAAAGAAAATTAGAAGAACTTTTTTCTCACCAACAGATTGAAGGATTATGTCATGCTGTCCATGTACTGCCTAAAATAATCTTCCATTTAGCTCACTGTACTCATTCCATACTTAGGAAGACAATGTCCCAGATGACATATAAGATTGCTATTAACACGAAACCTTTAGTGTTAAAGAAGCCAAGGGCTCATAAGATAGAAATGCCTCCAGGTCACTGCATAAGAGCTGGAAAGATAAAATTAATTTATTTCCTCTATTTTGATACTATTCCCCCTCTATTTTAAGTCATAAAATGTGGTAAGCTAGAGAAGAGTATAAAATATGCTGGAAAATGTACTTCCTGGTAACCGATAAGAACCAGAGTTACACGTATGCATCCCTGTGCTGGGTTTGAGGTAGGATGTGTGTGTTTTCCCACTAGGTCTCTGACTTCACCAGGTTACTGCCAGTGGAACAGCATTTGTTTTGGATTCTGTTTTTCAGGAGACCTCAAGCCCCCAAAAAAGCCACTGAAAAAGGATCTTGGCACCGGCAACATAAACTTTTCACTTTTCACTTTCAACTTTACCTGTGAGAACAGGTAAGACAATTTTGCCTCTGCATGTAAAGAGAGATTGGCAACCTCTGATTGTTAAAACTCAAGCCCGTAGAAGTCTTTGGAGCTCCTGGAAGTTTTAGCAATTCCTTCGCTCATTCAATAAACATCATTTCGAGCCTTCCATTGTGCTGAGAACTGGTGGAGCAAACCCCTGTCAGGTAGCACATCAGAGTTTAAGAGAGCAGATTCTGGAGTCTGCTTGGGGTTAAATCCCAGCTTTCGACAAGTAACTTAACCTTACAACGACTCAGTTTCCTCAACGTTAAAAATGTCAATAATAACAACAACGATAGGCATACCTCCCCCTCATAGGACTAGTGTGGGGATTCAAGGAGTCGGAATATGTAAAACACTTACACAAGTGCCTGACACATATGTAGTGCTCAAGAAATGTTAGCTATTTTATAGTGAACAGTGAATTTGATATTCAAATATTAAAATATTGCCTCTGACCTGGGTTGAGACTCACTGACATACTGAACCGCCGTTACTCATGAGAGGACACAAAGGAGTTGAGAGCCACTGCCCTAGTGGGAAGAAACCAAGTCCTGTGGAGAAGGCATACTTACTCAGGGAGACCAGGTTCCGGTAATTCTCCAGCATCACCTCCCTGTAGAGGTTTCTCTGAGCGGCACTAAGGGAGCTTAATTCCTCCGGGCTGAAGTCCACAAACACATCCTCAAAGGTCACCAACTCCTCAAACACCAGAAATGCTCCTGAGTGTCTGAAGTCCAGGAACTATCCCAGAGACAGGAGAAGGAATGTGATGAGAGGACTGAACATGAGGCAGGCATTCAGACCAGCAGAGAGCTTCCGCGTGCTCTAATGCAGAGCCACAGGCACCTGGCATTGCATCTTGCTTTGTCTTAGAGTCTGACAGAAGTGGGAACATTACTGAAACAGTTCCTGTTGCTAATTACTACAGATTTGGGTTGAGGGGGAAATAGCCTTTTAAGCCACTTTATAAAGATAGAATGCAAGCATGCAAATACTTAAAAGCTCAGCAGTATACCTCAGCCTCAGGAATCAGAGTCCTGGCTCTGGTTCTTTGTGAGTTTGGGTAGGTTAAGCCTCAGGGTACCACCTGTAAAACAAAGTGCTCATAACATGAAGAAATATTCAATCTTGCTAATAAACAAGGAGATGAAAATCAAAATGACAAAATACCATTTTATACCCATTCGATTAAGTATTGGGTAAAAATTAAGTAACTGAGTAAAAATTAAGAAGTGGGACAATACCAAGTATTATATAAAACATGGATCTACTGGAGATGCTAAGGGAAATGTAAATTGGAAAACCATTTTTGATCCAGAAATTCTTTTTTTAATTTTTTAAAATTTTTGTGGGTACATAGTACTTGTATATACTTCTGGGGTGCATGAGGTGCTTTGATACAGGCAGGCAATGTGGAATAAGCACATCCTGGGGAATGGGGTATCCATCCCCTTAGGCATTTGTCCTTTGAGTTACAAACAATCCAATTACACTCTTTAAGTTATTTTACAATAACTTTATTGTAATAATAAAGTTATTATTGACTATAGACTCCCTACTGTGTTATCAATAGTAGGTCTTATTCATTCTTTCTACTTTTTTTTTGTACTCGTTAGCCATCTCCACCTCCCTCCAGCCCCCCAACGACCCTTCCCAGCCTCTGATAACCACCCTTCTCATCTCTATTTGACCCCAAAATTCTATTCCTAGGTATATTTGCTCATGTGTACTTAAAGACATGGATGGGTAGGTATGTTTACAATAGCATGTTTGGAACATCCAAAATCTGGAAATAACCCAAACATTCATAACAGTAGACGAGACAAATATGGTATAGCCATATAATGAAATAGTATTCTAGCAATAGAAATCAATTAACTGGCCGGGTGCGGTGGCTCACACCTGTAATCCCAGCACTTTGGAAGGCCGAGGTGGGTGGATCACAAGGTCAGGAGATGGAGACCCTCCTGGCCAACACGGTGAAACCCCGTCTCTACTAAAAATACAAAAAATTAGCTGGGCGTGGTGCCTGTAGTCCCAGCTACTCGGGAGGCTGAGGCAGGAGAATGGCATGAACCCGGGAGGCGGAGCTTGCAGTGAGCCGAGATCACACCACTGCGCTCCAGCCTGGGTGACAGAGCAAGACTCCGACTCCAAAAAAAAAAAAAAAAGAAAGAAATCAATTAATTACAGTTATATATAAGAATCTTGGTAGCCTAAGGTTGAATTTAAAAGGCAGATACCATATATCCAAAGGAAAATAAGCCATCCTACCAAAAAGACACATGCACTCATATGTTCATCACAGCACTGTTCACAGAAGCAGAGACATGGAATCAACCCAAGTGCCCATCTACAGTGGACTGGATAAAGAAAATGAGGTGTGTGCACACCATTGAATGCTATGCAGCCAAAAAAAGAACAAAATCATGTCATCTGCAGCAACACACACGAAACTGGAAACCATTATCCTAAGCGAACTATCGCAGAAACAGAAAACCAAATACCACGTGTTCTCACTTACTAGTGGGAGCTAAACACTGGGTACACACAGTCATTAAAATGGGACAACAGGCAGACGACAGGTGATTTCCACATTTCCAACTGAGGTACCGGGTTCATCTCACTGGGGCTTGTCGGACAGTGGGTGCAGGACAGTGGGTGCAGCCCACCGAGCATGAGCCGAAGCAGGGCGAGGCATCATGGGAATGCAGGGGGTCAGGGAATTCCCTTTCCTAGACAAGCAAAGCTGTGACAGACGGCACCTGGAAAATTGGGTCACTCCCACCCTAATACTGCGCTTTTCCAATTGTCTTAGCAAATGGCACACTGGGAGATTATATCCTGCGCCTGGCTTAGAGGGTCCCATGCCCATGGAGCCTCGCTCATTCCTAGCACAGCAGTCTGAGATCGAACTGCAAGGCGGCAGTGAGGCTGGGGTAGGGGCGCCTGCCATTGCTGAGGCTTGAGTAGGTAAACAAAGCGGCCAGGAAGCTCAAACTGGGTGGAGCCCACAGCAGCTCAAGGAGACCTGCCTGCCTCTGTAGACTCCACCTATGGGGGCAGGGCATAGTCGAACAAAATGCAGCAGAAACCTCTGCAGACTTAAATGTCCCTGTCTGACAGGTTTGAAGAGAGTAGTGGTTCTCCCAGCATGGACCTTGAAATCTGAGAATGGACAGACTGCCTCCTCAAGTGGGTCCCAGACCCCCAAGTAGCCTAACTGGGAGACACCCCCCAGCAGGGGCCAACTGATATCTCATACAGCTGGGTGCCCCTCTGAGCCGAAGCTTCCAGAGGAAGGATCAGGCAGCAACATTTGCTGTTCAGCAACGTTCGCTGTTCTGCAGCCTCCGCTGGTGATACCCAGGCAAACAGGGTCTGGAGTGGACCTCCAGTAAACTCCAACAGACCTGCAGCTGAGGGTCCTCACTGTTAGAAGGAATACTAACAAACAGAAAGGACATCCACACCAAAACCCCATCCGTATGTCACCATCATCAAAGACCAAAGGTAGATAAAACCACAAAGATGGGGGAAAAACAGAGCAGAAAAGCTGAAAATTCTAAAAATCAGAGCACCTCTTCCCCTGCAAAGGAATGCAGCTCCTTGCCAGCAATGGGACAAAGCTGGACAGAGAATGACTTTGACGAGTTGAGAGAAGAAGGCTTCAGACGATCAAACTTCTCCGAGCTAAAGGAGGAAGTTCGAACCCATCGCAAAGAAGCTAAAAATCTTGAAAAAAGATTAGACGAATGGCTAACTAGAATAACCAGTGTAGAGAAGTCCTTAAATGGCCTGATGGAGTTGAAAACCATGGCATGAGAACTATGTGACGAATGCACAAGCTTCAGTAGCTGATTCAATCAATTGGAAGAAAGGGTATCAGTGATTGAAGATCAAATGAATGAAATGAAGTGAGAAGAGAAGTTTAGAGAAAAAAGAGTAAAAAGAAATGAACAAAGCCTCCAAGAAATATGGGACTACATGAAAAGACCAAATCTACATCTGATTGGTGTACCTGAAAGTGATGGGGAGAATGGAACCAAGCTGGAAAACACTCTGTAGGATATTATCCAGGAGAACCTCCCCAACCTAGCAAGACAGGCCAACATTCAAATTCAGGAAATACAGAGAATGCCACAAAGATACTCCTCGAGAAGAGCAACTCCAAGACACAAAATTGTCAGATTCACCAAAGTTGAAATGAAGGAAAAAATGTTAAGGGCAGCCAGAGAGAAAGGTCAGGTTACCCACAAATGAAGCCCATCAGACTAACAGCATGGTATTTCTAGTTCTAGATCCTTGGAGGATTCCACCACACTGTCTTCCACAGGTTGAAGCTAGTTCTAACAGTCTCAGCCAACAGTGTAAAAAATGTTCCTGTTTCTCTCCCATCCTCTCCAGCACCTTTGTTTCCTGACTTTTAATCGATTGCCATTCTAACTGGTGTGAGATGGTATCTCGATTGTGGTTTTTTTTTTTTTTTTTTTGTTTTTTCTGGAAGAACCGGAAGCCTCCGCTCTGTCCCCCAAGCTGGAGTGGCCGTGCGGCAATCCTGCGCTCCACTGCAAGCTCCGCCCTCCTGGGTTCATGCCGATTACTCTCTGCCGTCAGCCTCAGCCTCCGAATAGCTGGAAACTACA